ATAGTATCACCATTCCTTAATATGAGATTTACAAATAAAATTTTCAAACATTAATTGACTACTAAAATTTAAAATTTAAAATTTAAATCATAGTCAACAAATCATATTTTGAGTATATATGTAAAGGTTTTTGATAGTGTTGATATATCATATTTTGAAAATATATGAATATTTTAAGTAAATTATATTAAAAGGAAAATGAGATTTGAAATTGACATCATTTATCACTTTTTAATTTTTAATTTTTTTTTTGAGAATGAAAACATTTATCACTTTATCACTTGAGCAACACATTATATATGTACATTCCTCGTTTGCAATGCACATACACATTGTGTGTGCATAGGGGTTATTAATGGGACAATTTAGGTTTACCTAATCCACAACTATTGTGTCTAAATCTCATATTTTAATGGGTTTTTCAAGCTTTGATTAGTCAACGGATTAATACGGGTTGGATTTATTTAAAAAACTAAAATCGCATCTCACCCATAAACTCAAATTCTATGAGCCAAAATCAAATAAAATCGGGTTACACATTTTCCATTACACTTATATTATTAAGTTTTACACGTTTTTCATTCACATATTTTTAATATTTTCATTAGTTATTTTTCTTATTTACTTTCCTACATAATTCAAGTATTTTGTTTTTGTTTTGTTTTTTTTTTACCTTTTTACACCTCATATAATAAAAAAAACAACCAAGTAATATGTAGAAAAGGAAAAAATCAACACTTTAAACATGAGAAAAAAATCAAATTAAACATTAGACTTATCTATGCGGATTTTTACGGGCCGGATTTATGGACGGACTCAAACTATAAATTTTTGTTTAAAACCCTAAATCATCTCTTATGAGTTGAGATAAACTGGACACTCAACTGGATTGAAAGTCATGGGCTGAGTTGGTCAAGTTGGATAATATCAGATTTTTTATTCACGGGCCATTTGGAGACCCCTATGTGTGCATATAGCTACTTTTCATACACACAATTCATGAAATAAAAATAAATTAAATTAGTTTAAGTAAATTTGTTGGTTAAGGGATATGATGCAAAAATAGAAATAAATTTTAAAAAGTAAATAACTAAAATGGAGAGATACATACTTTTAATTCAATATTTTATTGTTATTATTATTTGTTTGTTCCTTAATGATTAATGTTTAGCTAACAAGATTAATTACACTAGTATTTTGCCCTCTCAATTTTTTGGACAATTGGGTTGAAATTCATGCGATGAACGAAGATGATTCTAGAGTAGTTTCAAATATTATTCACCATACATTCAAATCCGTCAATTATTATTATTATAAAAAAATTAAAAACAAAAAAAAACTGTACAGATATATTCTTAAGATGGAAGTGTCATAATTTTATAATTAAGAAATCTACTGGGTTAAAATAGAGGGGAGTTGAACGTGTAAATTAACCCTTATAATTAAGAAATCTACCAGGTTAAAATAGAGGAGTTGAACGTGTAATTTAACACTTATAGTAGGTTATGATTTTATATATTTTTCCTAAATATTTATTTTTAAAATTATATTTATCGTCACTTTTTTAAAGGACAAATATGATAACGTTGGAAACAAGACAAAGTATTAAAATGAAATAAGCAACAAAACAAAGCACACTTTTTTTGACAAGAAAACTTGAAATGGAAATAAGCAATAGCAATTATAAATCTTACATGATGTTAAAATGGAAATCATTTGGAAACAAGACAAAATATTCATCGATAGATATAATCTTCATCAATTTCATCTTCCGGATCACTATCATCATCAATCATATCATCATCAACTTGATCATCCATGTTAGTGTCATCATCATCCGCATTATTATCATTAATGAGCACTTCATCATCAACTTCAAGTTCCTCCTCGTGAAATTCGCCAGTAATGTCAACACATATCATTTCCATGTCTTCTTTGCATAATTCTATGGGTTGATCATCAATCTGCACCACATCCCCAAGTCCATACGACTCAAATTGTTGGTATGGTTCATCTTTGTCTTTGTCTTCCTCTTCCGCTTCCTCTTCATTCTCTTTCACTAAGATGTCATAAATAGCCCGTGGTAATACTCTTTGTACAACTCGATAATTATTGCCCCACTTCGTATCTTTCAAATAAAACACTTGTTCCGCTTGGCATGCTAACACAAATGGTTCATCTTTGTACCAAGTCTTCGTAACATTTACACTAATGTAGTTAAACTCATCAACTTTTATTCCAATTTTTTCGTTACCAACATCCCACCAATTACACTTAAAAAGAAACACACTATTCCCACCTAGATATTTCAACTCAATTATCTCTCTAATAACACCATAAAAATCAATAGGTTTCCCTTTATGATCTCCCTTCACAACCACGCCACTATTTTGAGTTTTTCGGTACATGTCACAATCTTGAGTGCGAAACCGAATCCCGTTGATGATACAACCATTGTAGCGTGTCACTCGGTAATCGAGACCTCGAGCTAAGTTCATAAGTTGATTGGAAGCATCCATTGTCCCTTCAACTTGCAGCTTTGTGACCTAATTCCATTGTTAATATGAAATGCATTAGCATACACTTAAATTCATTATTTCAATACACAAATAATGTTCAAAAATTATAACTCTTACGTATTTTAGAAACCATGTATGGAACTCTGATTCTAGCCTCTCTTGCATATTTGTCAAACCTTGTCCTTCAAGTTCATCCATGTATTGCCTATAAATTATAACAACATTATTCGACACAAATGGTTGTGAAAATAATATAATTCAAAAAGTAAAATATTCTAGTGAATATAATCATATGGTAGTTTACTTACAGCATATATGGTCGAACTTCATCACAATTATTCAACACGTACCATCGAACTTTTTTCAAATCCGCTAAATTCAACACATCATTAATTGCAGCTCCTAATCCACGAACTTTTTGCCTAAATACAAACAAGTTTCCATCTTGTGCTGCCTCAATAGGCCCATCATAGTTTCGTTCAGGTCTATTAAATCTTGTCTCACCTTCATGGAAGTACATAGAGCAATTGGCCTTTATTGATAGTACCTTTGCAGCAACAGATTCCGTTGCACGCTTCCTCCATAGATCAGCTTTCCGAGTTTCAAATTCCTCTCTACTCATGATGGGGGGTCCAGGATTGATGCCCATCCTAAAATCCGCAAGATCCCTAAAATCCGCAAGAAAATTAGTCAAATTGTTTTGAAAAAGGATAACATTACATTAAAGGCTGAATAGATGATAAAAAAAATGTAAAGCCCATTTCATTGCTGATAGTCAAATGATCATACATCATAACAATTATTGAACCATAAAAGCTTCAAATGATTCATAAACATAGAACTTGGTTAAAGACTCTTCCAATACAACTAAAAACTTTTGGAGTACACTATCAGCCGCAAAGAGCAAATGGATTTGGTACTCATGAACAAGCATAGAGAATCCAATTCACAAACAGAACTATGTAGACCACCATCTAAGATTTTAAAAAATAAATAAACAAATAAGAGAAAAAAAATTTAACAAAATAGTATCTTTTCTCAAGCTTTTTCATCTTAAAGGACAAATATGATAACGTTGGAAACAAGACAAAGTATTAAAATGAAATAAGCAACAAAACAAAGCACACTTTTTTTGACAAGAAAACTTGAAATGGAAATAAGCAATAGCAATTATAAATCTTACATGATGTTAAAATGGAAATCATTTGGAAAAAAGACAAAATATTCATCGATAGATATAATCTTCATCAATTTCATCTTCCGGATCACTATCATCATCAATCATATAATCATCAACTTGATCATCCATGTTAGTGTCATCATCATCCGCATTATTATCATTAATGAGCACTTCATCATCAACTTCAAGTTCCTCCTCGTGAAATTCGCCAGTAATGTCAACACATATCATTTCCATGTCTTCTTTGCATAATTCTATGGGTTGATCATCAATCTGCACCACATCCCCAAGTCCATATGACTCAAATTGTTGGTATGGTTCATCTTTGTCTTTGTCTTCCTCTTCCGCTTCCTCTTCATTCTCTTTCACTAAGATGTCATAAATAGCCCGTGGTATTACTCTTTGTACAACTCGATAATTATTGCCCCACTTCGTATCTTTCAAATAAAACACTTGTTCCGCTTGGCATGCTAACACAAATGGTTCATCTTTGTACTAAGTCTTCGTAACATTTACACTAATGTAGTTAAACTCATCAACTTTTATTCCAATTTTTTCGTTACCAACATCCCACCAATTACACTTAAAAAGAAACACACTATTCCCACCTAGATATTTCAACTCAATTATCTCTCTAATAACACCATAAAAATCAATAGGTTTCCCTTTATGATCTCCCTTCACAACCACGCCACTATTTTGAGTTTTTCGGTACATGTCACAATCTTGAGTGCGAAACCGAATCCCGTTGATGATACAACCATTGTAGCGTGTCACTCGGTAATCAGGACCTCGAGCTAAGTTCATAAGTTGATTGGAAGCATCCATTGTCCCTTCAACTTGCAGCTTTGTGACCTAATACCATTGTTAATATGAAATGCATTAGCATACACTTAAATTCATTATTTCAATACACAAATAATGTTCAAAAATTATAACTCTTACGTATTTTAGAAGCCATGTATGGAACTCTGATTCTAGCCTCTCTTGCATATTTGTTAAACCTTGTCCTTCAAGTTCATCCATGTATTGCCTATAAATTATAACAACATTATTCGACACAAATGGTTGTGAAAATAATATAATTCAAAAAGTAAAATATTCTAGTGAATATAATCATATGGTAGTTTACTTACAGCATATATGGTCGAACTTCATCACAATTATTCAACACGTACCATCGAACTTTTTTCAAATCCGCTAAATTCAACACATCATTAATTGCAGCTCCTAATCCACGAACTTTTTGCCTAAATACAAACAAGTTTCCATCTTGTGCAGCCTCAATAGGCCCATCATAGTTTCGTTTAGGTCTATTAAATCTTGTCTCACCTTCATGGAAGTACATAGAGCAAAAAGTGAGAGCCTCATTGTCAATGTAACCTTCAGCAATAGATCCTTCTGGACGAGCTTTGTTGCGCACATAACCCTTAAGAATATGCATGTACCTTTCAAATCCATACATCCACCGGTATTGCACCGGTCCTGCAAGGATTGCTTCACGCGATAAGTGAATGGATAAATGAATCATAATATCAAAAAAAGATGGTGGAAATATCTTCTCGAGCTTGCACAAAATTAAAACAATATCTTTCTCAAGTTGTTCTAAGACATCAACTCTCAATGTCTTTGACGATAACTCCTTAAAGAACAAGCTAAACTCAATTAATGCCTTGCTCACATCCTTTTTCAAACATCCACGTAGAGCAATAGGAAACAATCTTTGCAAGATAACATGGCAATCATGGCTTTTCAACCCCGTAATTCGACAGTCACTAGTGTTCACACAATGTGATATGTTTGATGCATAGCCATCTGGCAATTTAATTGAACTCAAGAATTCACAAAAGTTCCTCTTTTCAGTTGGAGACAACATGAAGCAAGCAGGAGGTAGGAATGTTTGGCCATGTACTTCCCTTGGATGTAATTCAGGCCTTATACCCATATCCATTAGATCAAGACGAGCCTTGTATGTGTCCTTGGTTTTTCCATCAATGTTCATCAATGTTCCTAGAACACTATCACATACATTTTTTTCAATGTGCATAACATCAAGGTTGTGACGAACTTTGAGGGTTTTCCAATAAGGTAAATCAAAGAAAATGCTCCTCCTTGTCCAATTTAAATATTGAGGAGAACGTTTTCGCTTCTTCCCACGGTGATCTATTTTCCCAAATAATGATGGGTCTATATGCCCCAATTGACCCAAGACCTCCTCTCCTGACAACAACTTAGGTTCTAACCTAAGCTCTGGCTCACCATTGAATGACTTGCTTGTTCGCAAAAAATGATCATGAGGCAAAAAACGACGATGTCCCATGTAACAAGTTTTTCTACAATGATGCAAGTATTGGTGAGATGCATTCTCATTGCATGACGGACAAGCCAATTTGCCTTGGTGCTCCAACCGGATAAATTACCATACGCAGGAAAGTCATTGATAGTCCATAATAATGCCGCGCGCAATTGAAAATTAGAGCCACTTGATGCATCGTAGGTCTCTACCCCTACCTCTCATAACTCATTTAGCTCATCTATTAGTGGTCGTAAAAACACATCAACGTCAAATCCAGGAGCTCTACGCCCAGGAATAAGCAAAGGCATCATAAAAAATGGATCTTTCATGCATTTCCAGGGTGGCAAATTGTACGGGACAATAAAAACTGGCCATATGCTATATGAGGTACTTATATTCCCAAATGGATTGAAGCCGTCACTTGCTAATCCGAGCCTAACATTTCGAGGATCTTTGGCGAATGACTCATGCTTTTTGTCAAAGTCTTTCCATGCTTCAGAGTCCGCCGGATGGCGCATTACATTTTTCTCCTCTATGCGTTTATCTTTGTGCCACCTCATATCAGTAGCTGTCTTCCTTGATATAAATAACCTTTGTAGCCTTGGTTTTAAAGGAAAGTACCGCAAAACCTTGTGAGAGATCTTTTTACCTTTACCTTCACCTTTATGAAATTTGTATCTAGGCTCCATGCAAGTAGGGCATTTATCTTCATTTTCGTACTCCTTCCAAAAAAGTACACAATCGTTCTTGCATACATGTATTTTTTGATAATCAAGGCCCAAATCTCGAAGTATTTGTTTAACTTCATTGTATGAGCATGGAAGTGTTTCACCGATGGGAAGTGCATCCTTCAACAGTTCTAGCATCATCGTGAGTGATTTGTTGCTCCATTTATTGAGCACCTTTATATGTAGTAGCTTAACAATGAATGATAATTTGGAATATCGCTGGCAATTCGGATACAATTCTTGTTCTGCATCCCTCATTAATCTTGCAAATGTATTTCCTTTACTACCATGAGCACCAGACAAGTCAGGATTACGACTACTAGATGCTTTCCCAGTATAAGCATATATGGATGGCCCACTATGTATGTCATGGACAATTTCTCGCACCTCAGTATTGGGAGAATTTGATTTCTCTGTCACATCATTGAAATATTCGTCATTTTCATTTTCCGAGGGATCACTATCATTCAACTCAAAATCTTCCCCATGATACACCCACCTAGTGTAAGTTGTGACAACCCCATATGCAAACAAATGAATTTCAACTTCATCTATGGTTTTTTGGATACGGTTGTTGCATCTATTACACGGACACAAAATCTTACTCGTCCCTGATTTCATATGATCACGAGCAAATATGATAAATTCTGTTACCCCATCAATGTATTGATGTAACCTTCTATTATGAAGTTGCATCCAACTCCTATCCATCCCGAAATCCCTATTACAGAGTACACAAAGACATTATCCTTCAATTCCAATATCTTGTTACTTTCTATATGTGGTCTTAAATGAGGAACACAACTAAATTCTTGAAGACGTTTCACTAATATGTATATCTACTTTTGACTATGTGATTCATATCTATGTTTTGACAAACAAAAATTCAGGGATGTATTGCCAAGGCACACCACATAAAACAAAAGCAAAAACAAAAGAAAAAGCAAAACATCAGGACACATAATAACATTGATAACAACCATATCCTCACTTTAAAAAAGTAAATAAATAAATAATCGCTATGTTAAGTTAAATAAGGTCATAAATCAAATAAGGTCAAACCCTATAAAGAGAAGAAAGGTTTGGCAATGCTAAGTTCAAGTGTAATGGCTATAGCATACCAAATGGCTTTCTATAGGAGGCTGGTGATTATGGCAGTAAAATCCAACAAGTAAAGAACGAAAAACAAAACATAAATTGCAAACATGCATACATACAATAGAAACAAGTAGAGAAAGAAAAACATAACATAAAGCTGAAGGAGAAGATCAAGAGCGCTTTTGGGAGCTGTGAGTTGGGTGTGCTGGGCAAAACGTGCTTAAGATCTCGGACAATACCATTTCGGCTAGTTAGGATTGAAGATGTTGAATCTAAGCGTGTTTTGATTGAATTGCCTGGAGTTTTAAGGGATAAGAAGCAACAGGAGGAGATTAAGACGAAGTCTGGGTGTTTTGATTAATTAGGTTTAAAAACCTCATAACTACAAAAGTTTCTTCCTCTCTAAACATTATTTAATACTTTCATATATACCATGGTATTATATTTTTGACTAATAAAAATCTGTGTTTTGTTAAATATTTTCGGTTGGCTGATTTTTTTCTGCATAAACAATACCCAAAAAAAAAAAAAAAACATAACCACCCTTCCAAAAAATAAATAAATAAAAAAAGTAACTAAAAAAATTATAAAAAAAAAGCTAAAAAAATATTTAATTTTTTGACACATCCCTACATATAACCAACCACCCTTCAAACAAAAAAACCAAACGCAGCCCAACAAATAAAATAAAAGAAAAAAATAACAACCAAACCAACACAACCCGACAAATAGAAAAGAAAAAAAAAAGTGATTGATTTGATGTGTATGAGAGAGAGAGTGATTTTGGAAAATAGATAACCAAACAAAATTTTGAGATTTTTTTTGAAAAAATTTTTTTTGTTTGATTACTCTTACAAATTTGTTTGTAGAGAATTTTTCCCAAAAATTTTTCTGAAAAATAAACCAAACAAGCCCTATGGATAAAATTAAATAAGAAAATGAAAGACTAACTATCCAACTCTCTTAGTGTTTCATGTTACTTTATCAAAGTCTATCAGTAAGTTTTCATACGGCCTTTATGTTTGATTCCAAATTATTTGCCAAATCTTGATATTTTTTTACCATACTTCTTTTCTTTTCTGCTTTCCATTCCCTACAAGTCACTTCCATTTTGGAACTTTGGTTCACACATGAACCAAGGTTTGAAACCTGTACTTTCTAGGCTTGAAATCATATAAGCTTTACGTGTACTTTACATTGTAATTTATTGTATATGTTGTTATATTCTTTTCAATCTCTCTTTTTTATTTCTAAATTCATGTTCATTGGCTCTTAATCTCCGTACATTTTCGTTATTGTTCTTCTTTGTCACTACGGTTGTGCTTATTTTTGCTACTTTTGTGATCACTGTGAACTTTTCTCCTATCAGTCCCTTCATTTCAACTAGATTATAATGTCATTACTTTGTTAATTTCAAAACATTTCTCACATTATTGGAGGTAGACCCCATTTTGTCCTTGGAATGATTAATCAAAATTCCACACAAGGATGAGAAAAGTCCATGAAAGGTAGATTGAGGAAATTCCAACAATGCTCCTATTCAATTATATGTACCAAGTTCAGAATCACAAAAATAAAGATCTTTTCTAGTTCAAAGTGAAGTTGAAAATGTGAAATCGCTGGTAATTTTCAAGATGATTGTGCTCTCTCCACACTGACTAGAAATACAACTTGAGTAATTTTTAAGCTTCAATGATATTTCATGTTATATTAGAGTTTGGCATTACTTTTATTTATTTATTTATTTGGGGAAATCAGATCCTTGTCAAGGATCTTCACCTCTCCCCGAAGATGTTCCAGCCAACACAGAACCGGGAACATATATGGCCTAGTTCTTTTAACAAACCTGAGTTAAATTAAAATTTCACATCAAGAGGATTGAGAAATACCTAAAATTAAAATTCACATCAAAATGATGAAATAAACAAAAATCAAACAGAATGAGTAAAATGAATTTTATTAATTCGACATTAAAACTAATTTTTGGCTACACTCTGTATTAAAAACTCAATACTACTTGAAGGATCAAGAAATACCTTGATAGAGAGTGAATTAACCAATCGATGCCTTCAAAGTAGCAGAAATCTGCAAAAAAATGAAGAAGAAGGTGAAGAATCAACCTATAGAAAAACTGCATCCATGACAATCTGCAGGCTAATCGAACAAAAATGTGAACTACTTATTGTGTTCTTCATAGATCTACAATATATATATATACATATGTATATGTATAGGCAGATATATATATATATATATAGAGAGAGAGAGAGACGCACCAAATCTACAGAAAATGTGAAGAACAAGGTAGATCTACTGAAGATTGTAGATCTCAAACTGATCTGCAATGGAGCTCGAGATGGACAGAGCGAAGACCTACAATGAAGCTTGCGATGGAGCTTGACAAATAGAGAGAGAAGGTTTTACACATTGTGAAGCCTGGGTACGGTTTTCAGTGTGTATTTGCATCAGGTGAGGTTTTGTAATTTTTCATTATTTGCTCCCTAAAAAATGCCAATAATATGTGTTGACCACCAAAATTATTGGTCTCAAAAAGTTACACAGCCTAACAGGAAATATCAAAAGTCATTTTGATAGTTTTATAAATAAATTATCACAAGTTTAGTTTTGTCTCTAAAAGATTATTTTTAGGGACTAAATTTAATTAGTCCTTAAATATTAGTTGCTAAAAGACTAATTTCTTGTAGTGATGGCCTAGAAACTTAACTTCCTTGAGCCAAAAAACACTTCCTAAACTTTGCAAACAAACAGTGTGCTATAAGAAACTCAAGTACAATACACAAATGCCCCTCGTGTTCCTCCTTGGATGGTGAGTAAATTAAGATGTCATCGATAAAGACAATCATGAATCGGTCAAGGAACTCATGAAAGACGCGATTTATCAAGTCCATAAACAAAACTGGTGCATTAGTGAGCCCAAAAGGCATTACTAGTGTAGACACCCCATTTTGACCAGCCCTAAGACTTGGGCGCTTTCTGTTGATTACCTGATGATGACAATCAAAATGTATTCCCCAGCAGTTCTCAACAAGAAAAATAGAATTTGAGCTTTAATCCCAACATTCACACATTTTTGGCCAAACTATTTTAGACCCTAAAACCCTCTTTTCAAAATATTTTTTAAATGTTTCTACGATGTTCTGAGGCTCCTATTTCAATTAAAATATTGCACTTTTCAGTAAATCAAGTAAGGACAAAGTAGAAATAAATGAAAGGGAAATGAATAGCCTTCACTAAATTAAGCATACCTCTTTGCACACTTGGAATTTAAATGTGAGGCCACTACCATTGGAAAGTAGACTTCAGGGGCTTGAATTTAGACCCAATAACCACCTAAAACCAAGTTCATATAAGGGAGATATACTCATTTGAAGTTGGGCTTAAGAGCAAATTTTGTTGACCGGGCTTGGGGAAAAATAACAGCCTTCACTAAATTAGGCATATCTCTTTGTACACTTGAAATTTAGATATGAGGCCACCACCATTGGCAAGTAGACTTCTAGGGCTTCAATTTAGACCCAAGAACCACCTAAAACCAAGTCCATATAAGAGAGATATGCAAGTTTGAAGTTAGGGCTTAAAAGCAGATTTTGTTGACTCGGCCCAAAACAGCAGCAACCCAATTTTTCTTGGTTTTGGCTTGGTTAGGCCACCCTATTTACCTATTTTGTTATCTATTCAAGTGCACCCACTCATCCGCCATTATACCTAATCATCCCCCATTGTCAAAAAGAGGTTTTGTTTGTATCCATAAAGGAGTATCCCATGCAACCACCTTGAAAATTTGCCCTCTTATCACATTCTTGTCTCCCACCTTCTTTTTGATCTTTACTCTCCCTCATTGCCTATATAGAATGATCATATTGTAAGAGAGAGGGAGGACCAAAAAATTGAAGAGAAAAGAGTGAGAAAATGGTGAAAAAGGAGAGAAAAATTGAGTTTTTGAGCCAAAAACATTCCTATCTTCCATATACACCTCATACCTTCCATACAAACTGAAATTCCATTTTTCCTACACCCAAAACTCCTCCAAAAATTCTGAAATGGCTAAATTTCAGTAGTGATTGATCAAAAGAAAGAGTGAATGTTGTTGAAAGTGAGAAAAAACAGGAGAGTTAACCACTTTTCCACCATACATACCCAAAGTTCCATTCTAGTTTCAAATTGAGGATTGAGAACACACTTCCTAAACTTAAGGGCTTGAGGGTGATCAAGAGGAAGTTTGGAAATCAAGAAGTTCAATCTTTCTTTGAAAGGTGAATTTCTAGTCTTTCATTTTCTTATATTTTATATCTCATATTTATTTTCTTGTTTCTTATTTCATAGTGTTTCGTTGTAATCTAAGTGATTTGTTTAGCTCACAATTATTTATTAATTTATTTATTTATTTATTTTTATTCTCTTGCTTTAATTTCATATTAGTTTTGTTGAATCTTGCATGTTCTACCTCATATTTGCATTTTTGTTTTAGGTTCATGTTAGTTTTGTTGTAATCTTGCATGTTCTATCTTATATTTGCCTTCTTATTTTAGTTTCATAGTAATTGTGTTGTAATCTTGTATTTCCTAGCTTATATTTTTCTTGTATTAGTCTCATATTAGTTTTATTGTAATCTTGCATGTTCTACCTCAAAATGCTTTTTTTTGTTTTAGGTTCATGTTAGCTTTGTTGTAATCTTGCATGTTTTATCTTATTTTTGTTTTCTTATTTTAGTTTCATAATAATTATGTTGTAATCTTGCATTTCCTAGTTTATATTTTTCTTGAATTAGTCTCATATTAGTTTTGTTGTAATCTTGCATGTTCTACTTTATATTTGTTTTCTTATTTTAGGTTCATGTTAGTTCTGCTGTAAGTTTGCACTTTTTTTATTTTATATTTGTTTTCTTGTTTTTAATCTAACCGATAGTGGTTAGTTGAGCTACCTATATATTTCTTGTTTGTTCCTTTTTCTTGGTTTCGCAATAAGACAGGTTTTGCTAGGCCTAGTTGGCCGGCCGACCTATTTGCCCGGCCGGTTAGCTTCTTTTGGACAAGACGGCGTTGTCTTCCGATGTTAACCAACTTCTGGTGGTTTCCAAGGCACATGAAACGTTTTTTTTTTCTTTTGTTTATTTTCTTTTGAGTGTATTGTGAGGTTTATTTTGTTGTAATATTCTTCTCAGCCCCCTCTAATTTGGTTTGTAACAATTTATTCAAAGTGTTGTAATAATTTCTCACCCCACTTCTTTCTATCCCGTTCTTTTACTTCTTTTCCTTATTTGTGAATATGCATCATATTTATTTTATTTTATTTTTTGTCATTATATCCATGCTTTGCATCTATGTTTCATGCATCCTGATTCGGCTAAGTTTGCATTTGTGGATTTAATCAATTCCTATGTGATTATGTGCGCTACCTCATGTTCTTGAGATAATTCACATGTCATATCTTAGAAGCCGAAATTTAGTTGCATCTCATGAGTGAATTGCATTAGGATTATGTATATAAGATCATGCATATTTTACTAACTTTGTTCTATAACTGTTCGCGTGACGTCGGTAAATATGTAAGTTTTTATGCTTTAGCATCCCGTTTGTGTGTGTTTTTCTTATTATGTTTAAGCATCTTACCATATGGCTATTTGCTTATGTGATACAGCTCTATGAATGCCAGTAGATGGAGGTTGTGTCGCTTAATTTGGAATGAAAATGATTTTCATATTTGTAAACTCAATCTATTTGGGTTGTACATCTTTAAAACTCTTTCAAAATACATGAAATCAAATTATTCCAAAATAAATGGCAGTCTATACTTGAATGCATCACATAGTAATTTTTAGGATTTATTAAATAATCAAAATATGAACATATAAAGTAAATAAAATTCATATCATGATTTAGTAAAGGCCGATCTTTTGATCGGGTGAGCGGGGGTGCTCAATTAATGACCTTCCCCTCTCATACCTAAGGTTTTGAACCGAGATAGCTTTGGTTATGAAGAACAATGGCCTTGGCACGAGTCATGGGTTTCTTAATTTTCCAAAATATTAGGTGGCGACTTTGAGATCTGATGACGCAGTCCATTTGTGGCAAATATTTTTTTTGTGCAATAAAATGGATCTTCTAAAAGTTGTCAAATGTGGACTGTCATCTATGTTTCACATTGCACTCGTGAGACTAGATCAAAGAGATCAAGGGCCTGAACTGTTTAACGCGCATGGATACCCCCGGGCATGTTACAACTAGGAACTCATAATGACCATAATGTATATGGAAGGCCATTTTTTTAACGTCCTCATCCTTCACCCTCAACTGATGATACCCCGATCTCAAGTTAACCTTCAAAAAGCAACGACATCCCTTTAGTTGGTCGAATAAATCATTGATTCTTAGTAATAGGTATTTGTTCTTGATAGTAACCTGGTTCAACTTACGATAGTCGATACACAACCGCAAAGTGCCATCTTTTTTCTTCACAAAGAGAGTCTGCACTCCTTAAGGCGAGGTACTAGGGCGTATAAAGCCCTTGTATAATAAATCCTGAAGTTGCACCTTTAATTTATGCAATTTGGTTGGCACAAACCTATATGGTGCCATGGAAATTGGAGCCATGCCCCCCGCCAAGTCAATAAAAAAACTCAATCTCTCTCTAAATGGTGGTAAGTCTATAAAATTCTCTGGAAAAACGTTCGGATACTCTCGAACCACTCTCGGTAAACCACTCAAGACAATGCTACCCTCATTGACTACCGTGTTGGCAAAAAGGAAACTCAACTCTCTTCGACCCTTAAGGTCATATAGTAGAGGAATAAAACTATCACTATGATCACATATGAAGTAGAAACAATTCTCGGATGGTGTACACACCGACATCCTCCTATGGTGACAATCTATCGAAGCCTAAAAATAGGTCAACCAATCCATATCCAAAATCACATCAAAAGTATGCATGTCAAGAACGATAAAATTAAAAGAGAGTCAACGATCTGCGACCTCAATCTCACAAGAGTAACACACTCAATCCAATGCCACCATACTCCTAATAAGCGTATTAACAAATAAAGAAGACTCCAACTTATCAAACTCCAAACCCAAGGCAAATGCAAAAGAAAAGGATATAAATGAATAAGATGCACCAGTATACATCAACACATTGGCTAGAGAATTGAATAGAAAAAAGTTACCTTTCACAATAAGAGGTACCAACAACTGATTTGTCGTGGTAACAACATACACATACCCCAAAGGCCTTTGGTCTACTTGCTTACCCCTTCGAGCATAGACCTAATGCACAAAATGAACTGAAGTGGCTCCTGATTAGCTCTTGAGGCTTGAACTAACTGAGCTGATAGATGGCTCTAAGTTTGTCTCGAACCAGATGCACCAGGTGTGCCACCAAATTGAGGGCAAAATCTCCTCAACTGCTCGGACTACCCACAGTGAAAAGAGGTA